CTTTCCCCCCTGCCCCCTTCTTTTTTTGAGGTGGGAGGGATTGTGTGTAAAGGGAAAGGAAGTCTTCAGTAATTCCTTCTTTCTCCCTAGGGCAAAATATAAACTACAGTTTTATATGCAGTATTTGCTTTTTAAAACAATAGTGAAATAATATTTTAGTTCTTATTTGAATTATTAGTGTTGTGTGTTAATCTTCAGAAAGCTTCATTTGGTTAGTGAGCATTTTATTTCTTATTTTCAAATTTAGTGTTGGGCAGACACAAATTTATTGTTAGTTCCTAATACCGTGTCTTCCTAAGGAATGTGGTGGTGTTCTTTAGAAGCAGAAAGGTGGTCTTTATCTGTGATATCTTCCTTTCGAGAAACTGGGTGAAGCAGGGCTTTTTCCACTTACAATTTGACAATATTGATGTCTTCTGTTTTCACTGCTGAAACTCCATCCTCTTTTTCCTTCCTGTAGAAAGCAGGAGGGGAGAAATTGGCACCAAGAGGTCATAAATTCACTTTAGGAGCCTGAGTGAGCAGCTGCTTTTAGAACCTGTAATGCTAATTAACATCTTGTCCTTCTTTTAAATTAAGTTGGACTCATTTGTATCTTTTTCTCAGTTTTTAAACTACAATTAAACAATCTTCTTTCAGTAAGAAAGTAACTACTAGAGCTTAGTTTCTCTGGAAGAAAAACAGGAACAGAGGTACCTAACCCTCCCTGTCCTCTAAGTATCTTTGAAGTTTCTACCTTTGAGTTTCAGTAAATCACAAATAGTGTTTTTCAATGTCAAATTTATGGCTATTTTAAAGTAATGCTGTGATGAAACATGAGGATTATACTTAGTTACTTTGTTTAGTTTCACTTATTTACATCACTTTGCTATGCAGTTGCTGTTCTTGAAGCAAATACTGTTGCTTGTTTTCAGGAACACTTCTAAAACATGCATTTTTAAAAAAAATCCTTTATGGATGGGAAATACTTGACTTCACACAGTCTTTTGTCACTGATGACCTCTGTGATATGTTCATAAGTGTATAAATGGTTTGTACTGTAAAAGCTAATGTTAGCCTGTATTTCTTTTTGAGATTATACATCCGGTGGGCTATGTTACTATAGTACTTGCTATAATAAGCAGATCCCAAATGTATTCATCTTTTACTGTGCATGCAAAGATCACGTGTGCAGTGTGTATCTGGCATGTTGTAAGATGTGGCAGACTTGATGAATGTGCTCTGTAGACTTGATAAATGTGTATTGCAAATGGCCATTGCGGGATGTCTGCAGGCCAGCTGGAGCTACTGCTTTATCTAGATTGCCAGACAAGGTTGTCAAGCTCTGCACAAATCTATGATAGTCATATCGTTGCCAGTACCCTAACCTTTGTTATAGCACTGGTTTTCTAGCTCTATGAGCTGTCAAAAAGCTATGGTTCTGATTTACTGGATTTGTCGCAAGAATATAGTTTTTTCTTTGAGGTAATTTTTTTAAATGCAGTCAGCTTCACAACAAGCTGTGCACTGAAAAATAATTTGATTATTTCTCAAGCATGCTATGGGCAACTTTTTTGTGTAGTCTGTAGAACATCAAAATATCATTCAATAGTAATGATGCCAGTTTTACTAAACAACTCTATCCTCTTTGGTCTTTGCAGTTTTGGTTTTGAATTGAATAAGATCAAAAGCACAAGTAAGTGTTCAACTCATAAACATGAAAAAGGCAAGAAATGTAAGTGTGGCAACTTGGTCCTACCTGTAAATATTAGAATCTGCTTCTGGAATCTAGTAGGCAGTTGTACAACTTAAAATCATCTGTGTATAGCAAACATACTACCTTCATGGGGCTTTTCTGGTTTAGGTTTTGGTTTTCTTAGGAGTGTCTCATTTCAAATTATCTCTCAGTTATTTAATCTTCTGTGAAGGCGTTCTGATTACTAGTAGCCGTATGGCAGGACTGGTGCATTTTTGACATTCTGATGATGAAACTGCAACAGCAAACAAAGTTTTCTGTGTCTGTTCATGCCAGCTTTTAGAACTAAAGGGAATCTGGAAGCTATAAACAAATATTTTCAGTGTCTTAAAATGAAACTTCCTGTTGCTTCTGTTGAGGGCATTTAGGGGCCTGAGGATGCAATACTCCTGGAGTTTTACTGACTTTGATAAAAGTCAGACTTGAAATATACTTGTGTGCAGCTGAGGTGCTGATGGGGAGGGAAGGAGTATGTGTTAGTGTACAGTGTTAATTTCGTTAGCTGAAATGAATTAGTACTCCTGATCACTGTGTTTTCGTGTAGCCCATCTCGTGCACTCAGTCATCAGTCTGCTTTCTGTGCTTTTGAAATGCTTCACTTTTTAAGAGATGGAAACAACTAGATGTGTTTCATGTTTCTAATCAGCCACAGGATATTGGGCTCAGATAAACCTGATCACTTACTTCCACCCAGGATCTGTAAGACTGAAAGGGGAGTGGAAGTTTCCTCCTCTTAATCTTCCATCCTATGTCTTCTGACTCAGGGGAGACAAAGAAAACAGCTGCCAACTATCCCACTCGTCCACTCGTGCAAGAGGGAAGAAGATCCCGATGTGACTAGTCCTTCTGGTAGTCCATACTTCAGGTTACAGCAGTTGGCCTGTCTACCCTTTCTTAGGTTATCTTCCAGAATTAGCAGTTCTTGTGATAACTGCAGTGTTCGAGTCTGCTGCAGCTGCTCCTGGTTTGAGTAAAGTCAGCTTTGTTTTCCAGGGTTTCGTTTATTTGCTCATGGTTGGAATGACAGTATTGACAGTTGTCTGCTGTTTGAGAAAACTTGAAGGCAAGGTAAAGATGCTGAAGTGTCCTGACTGTGGACCGTAGAATGTGGTGGGTTACTTCTGGTTTCTTCTCAGAGATAATACTCATAATCATATGACTAGTATTAAATTTTGTAAAATCCCATGTGTTTATCAACATAATTTTTAATAATAAATGGTTTCAGGGAATATGAATTTTTCAACTTCTTTTAATTTTTATAAAATACTTTTTTCTCTGCAGCTGCTGTTACTCTCTCTGTACTTTAGTTACCAAGCTGTTGGTAATCTTTTCTCAGATCGCGGCTGTTACTCTCTCTGTACTTTAGTTAGCAAGCTGGTGGTAATCTTTTCTCAGATCCAGTGTTGTTGGTAGTCAGGCTGTTGCCTGAATACTCCCACGGTATTTTCCTTCCCACAGTCAGAAATAAAGAACATTGCTGCCCTAATAAGCCTTTCTTTTGCTAGCTAACGAATGAACTTGGCAACATGGGTCACTTATATCCTCAGTTCAGTGCCATTTGTGGAAAGAGAACTGAAAAAAAAAATACTATAATTTGGAGTGGAGCTGTAGGAAGCGCTTAGTTCTTGGTAAAAATTCTTTTTTAAAAAAAGCAAAAACCATTGGTCAGTCACATGCATTCTCTTTGGCTCTAATTTGTGGTCTTTACTGCTATTCTGGACTTCCGGTCTTAAACAGAGCATTATAAAAAAAGTCACCGCTTTTCATTTGTATTTTGTATTTAAAATTTCTTTCTTTCTGCTTGTAGATTTGTTTGTAAATGCATCATAAACAGACAGCCCAGAATGAAGAAAGCAAGCAGGAGTGTTGGCTCAGTGCCCAAAGTGCCTGGAGTAAATAAAACTCAAACAACTGAAAAAGCCAAACCAGAAAACGGCTCCTCAGTGTCTGCAGTAACAAAACTCTCCAAAACGGGGCCATCAGCATCTCTTTTGAAGGTAATAACCAATAGAACGTTCTGATTATTTATATTTTTTACAATAAAGCTTTAAAAAGAGTAGAATTTTAAGGCATGTCTAATGCAGCCTAGACTAGAGGTTTGTTATATGGGTAACTGAAGGGAATTTGGGTAATTACACAGCCTTGGCCAGGGTAATAGGACCTTGTGTGGCATTCATGTTGTATTTTTCATGTTGCAACGTGTGATGTGATGGAAAGCAATGTACTTTGCAGAACTTGGCTATTCTGCAAAAGGAGCAGAATGGAAGTTGCAGTCTGATGAACGTTATTAGTAGTGTCATGTGCTATGCTTGAATGGTGTGTCAGTGACTAATGGGATTTGATAAGAGCTATTTATGAATTCTGAAAAAAGAACTAATGAGATATCTAACATGAGAAACTTTTTGATATCAGTGATCCGTGTTAGGTCAGTGCAGCTGCATTCTTCTAGCTGTTTTGGCCTTTGCTTTGCGTGAAGTACTGCTTGAGCTGAATTTTCACAAGTTGATTCTTGCTCCTAGAACAAGTTCAAAGGTAGAGGTTTTCTCTTATATTAGCAAAACAGGGCAGTAGATTTAGGAGCGTATGGTTTTCAACAACCAAGAAAAATAAGACGTACTGAGGTGTGCTGGTGTGGAGTTTTCACCTGGGAGAGAACACATCTGGGTTGGACAGATGACATGAGCCTGCCAGGTCTGCCTCCCTCTCCCGGCATGGAAACATGGCTGGACCCACCTCCTCCGGCCTTTCTGCAGCCCAGTATTCAGAGCTGTGGCGCTGCTGCTGCCCTGGGGCAAATGAACAGAACAAAGGAAAGGGCTGGTGTCTGCAACTGGGTCCTGAACCACTGTCACCTACAGGAAGCCAGATAGGCCATTTAAATAACTGGCAATTAAGACCTAAAATTAAAGAAGTGGTAAGGATTGAGGTCTCTCTGTAGTAGCTGTGCAGGATTACTGAAGTCAAAAGGTGTGTTCCCTTTCTCTCTTCTTGCTTTTCTTTTATGGAAGAATGGTTAATACTTTTTGCTGATGAACTTGCGGGCCAGGTTTCAGCTAGATTTTCTCCCAGTGCTCCCCCTTTTCTCTGCCACCCAACGTATCTTGCAGTTTTCTTAACTTTAATCTTTTGATGCTTGTTGACACTACTTATTTTGTATTTCTAGAAACCTCTCAAAGAATACGGAAACAAAAGTCCTTTGTAGTTTACTTATCAAGTTTCTTATGTTATACCTCTGTGAGATAAAGGAGGAGGATGATCTAACACTGAAGAAATTTGACCCAGTATGCTTTCACAATTTTACTTATATTAGTAACACTTCTGGCTATGTTTGGGTGTGGGATTAGAATTTATGACAATTGTATGTTTGAGGCACAATGAAAATTACTAAGACTTATCTCAGCTTTATGTTAGAGCCAGGCTTACTCATACAGTTGGATGTCTTTTACTTGTTAAGCTGCTGTTGTGCCAACTATGTGACTTAATAATAATGACAACTCTTATCTTCTTTGATTGTTCCATACTTATACAACAAAGTTAGTTGTTTGTATTTTTTTGACTTACAGATACTGGCACATCACATTTATAATTACTGGCTTGAAAGAAGTATCAATAACAAGTTGTATTATTTTTAAAATAATTTTTTGTATAGTTTTATATTTGATTTTGTTGATGAAGCATTTGATACCTTGTTTTCCTCATAGTGTTTGTAGGATCTGTATTATGTATTATGAATTTCATTTAATATTGCTTGACAAAAAGACCCCAACCATAGCTAGCATTAAATAATTTTAATTGCAACAGCTTACTAATTTATTCTGTCCTCAGAGTAAGCGTGCACATAGATATAGAAAACTTTGAGTAGGATATTGAATGAAAAGCCACTATTAAGGACTAGAAATACACATTTACAGTACTATACCAATCTTAATTCAGTCAGTAATAATGCTGAGAAATTGAAAATTACTTTCTAATTATAGTATGTTTTTTTTCTTATCCCGTTCATGATACAACCATAGACCGGTGTTGAGCTTTGCGTGGGCTTCTTTCACTACGCATTGTTCCATAGATTTGTCCTTTTTTGTTGAGTTTTCAAAGTGTGTGGACAATGAGCACAGGAAGAAACTGTGAGACCCACCCTTCTGTACAGCTGAACACTGTTCCAGAGGTCGGTCGGTCGGTCTGTCTGCTTCAGAATGCCTTTTTGTAAGTTACTTCTTCATAGGTTTTTGGCTCCCACTTTGCCCAGGACTTTTGTAAATGTTCAGCAACCCCCCCCACCCCACACATGTTATTACAGCAGAAGGTTAACTGCCAGCCACTTCTAGTTTTTAATCTGTCAAAAAATACTCTGCAAATAACAGTGTGTTCTTATTTTTAAGATCATTATTTTTTTGCTTCTTTAGCTAATGAGCTTGTGATCATGCTAACACCTACAACCGTAATTAGACGGCAGCTGTACTTCACACAAATGAATTGCAAAATCCAGTGTCCCTGAAAAGCCAGAACTTGGACACCAACATTTGAATACATAAAAATTAGAATGTGTTTTCGGTATTCATGTGTCTAGGCTTCAGTATTCTGTTTGCAAAATGCAATAACTTAATTACAGATTGTTGTGAAGTTTGATGTTTCAAGCACTCAAATGCAGCAACAGCAAGCATCAAAGAAAATCCCAGGTAGGAATAATTAGATATATATAAAAAAAAGGATTTGAATGAGGTGCAGTAAATAGCATATACATGTTGAGAAACTAAGATTAAATTAATTGTAGAGGTGATCATTCAAGCTTCATTGCACTGAAAGAAAGGTGGGGGGAAAATAGAATATGAATTGTATAATTACAGAGTGGGGTTTTTAATATATAAAACCAAAATAGGTCTGGATGAGCATTTCTAATTATGATCTTTTCTAATTTTTCATATTTTAATGTAGGTGTTTTAATGCTACGCAGGATTGCAGTGTTTTCAGTAAATGGGAGAAACTGTTCTTCCTTGAGGAAAAAGCTCTTTAATAAACATATGACATTTATTTTGCTTCCATTAAAAATATACGCTATGAAAATACTTTGATTTTTAAAGTCAAGAATGGTTGCCATTACGGAGTGTTAAGAAAAGAGAGCTGCTGGTTTGTAATTTTTCCAAAGCTTTGCTAAATAGTTTTCTTTGCCAAGAGTATAGTGTTACAGTTTTGAGAAACTGTTTACTAATTGGCTGCAGAGGAGGCAGTGCCTTCCAACCTAGGCTAGAAATAGTTTAAGGGTAAGTCGGAAGAAGAATGGCTGTCTTAAATTCCTTTGTTCAGCAAGGACTGGAGATGACTAATGTCAGAAAGTGTGTATTTTACTTAGCTGTGTTTTTTTTTTTTTTTCTTCAAGCTGAGTCACATCTTGACCTATTTGGCTTGATAACATGTACTTGTACTATAAGTGCCTAAAAGCTTAATCTAATTTCCCCACTCTTTCAACAGGATAAAAATGCTGACAGCTAATAGTCCCTTTGAACTGTCATGTTTGGTGACTGATTGGCAGATTCAGTAGCAAAATAGAAAATCGCTGTTCTATGCCTTTTTGTAATACCTTGTTTTAGGTGATAGTTGCATCACAAGGTTGTTTCCCTCCCTCTCTACCCCCGTGCCCACAAGATTAGTTTAGATTATATAAGAAATCTGATTAGATTACAGGTTAACGGAGGATTGTCATACAGTAGTAGTTTGTGCTCAGCTCCCCCCCTGCACAAGTAGTGTGGGCTTTGTCGATTTTGTAGCCCTCCAATATTTTTATTTTCCCGTTGGTACTTACATTGTGTCTGCTGTTTTGCATGGCTGTGTGACATAGCAGATCAAGGACCTGATCTGGCTCCTGGGAGGAAGGAGCTCTTTGAAAAGGCTTCAGTTTACACAGCACAGTGTGTAAGCGCATGGAGAAGAAGCGGGATAGAACAACAGTGGCTTTTTCATAGCAGAAAAGCCAGCTTAGATGCACATTAAACTAGAGCCTCAGAGTAATGTGTTTTCTTCCAGTCTTTTATAAACCTTTTTAGAAGGCTGTACCATTTTCTACATGATTCAATAAAAACATTCTTGTCCTAGAGGATTTTACCCTTACAAATACCTGTTTCTATCTGTAAATTATCTGTATTTCTAACAACTGCATGCAGAACAAATACATTCTCTTCCCAAGCTCCCTTTTGTTTTGCAGCTGCTGTTCTTTGTAAATGGCACAAATCCCATACATGCCCTTTCCACAATATCGTGATCCATGTTCCTAACTGTTCTGAAATTTGCACTTGCAAAAGAAACTGTATAGAAAGGAGTGAGATGCAACTTTTTTTTAATTAAGCAAGTGTACCTTCATTCTTAATGTATAGCATCGTAATGTCTGGCATATAGTTTTTAACATGAATATGTATGGGAGCAAGAAGTTAGAAACCTGAAGAATTTGAAAGTCATGATGTAAAGCAACTGGTTAAGTCCTGAGCACTACCTTTTAGCTGGGAATGCTGGTTGAGACTTCAAATGTGTTATCCAGCTGAATAATACAGTTACTCAAGGAATGCTGCTAACACAGCTGTTTTCTTTTAATTTTTCTTGCCCTTATAATGTGAAGAATATTTAGCATATTTTGATTGTTTCTCCATTTGAAAAATTGCATTTTAAAGAGTTGTAAAGTCTGCCAATTAATGCTTAAGAACTTAGTATTTTTAGAGCTTGCTTTATTCTGAAAATTATATTCTGTATTTGGGAATCCAGTTCTTGAGACTCCTGTGCTTACTGCCTTGTCACATTCCAGGCAGCTTTTGTGGCTAACAGTAGTTTCAGGAATGATCGTATGAGGTCAGACAAAAAGTCCATCAAACAAATATCCCGTCTCTGAGAGTGCTTAGTAAAGAGCATGAAAACAAGGCAAGGATATATGGTGAGGGTGGCTTTTTCCTCCCCTCTGGGTACTGTCCTGGTCTCTAGTGATTTGTAGCTTAGTATTTTGAGCTAGAAAGGGTATTTTATTAATGTTGGATTGATTTTTATTGTTGTTTGGTTTGATCTTTTTGTTGTGAACTTGTCCACCAGAAAACACTTGATCATATTCTACTGAAGGACTTTATACTAACTTCCTAGTATTTGCTGGTTCAATTATCTAAGAATTGCCTTCATTTTTATGCTTAAGTGAACCTTCAGTCAAAATTGAGAAGTGTTACACTGTGTTGTGTTACTGTGCTTTACTTAGTTTTTTTTTTTCTCCTTGGTATTGAAACATTAATCATCATGTCTGGGAGAGAGAAGACTCAGTTTCTATGGTCAATCATATGTAAGGAATTGCAGTTCAGTTTCAACTTATCAACTCTGTACAGTGCAGTGCATTTATACTTTTCAACATTCTTGCATAGACACATGACTAGTCAAATATGTACTTTTAAAACTGATAGAATCTTTAACAGAAGAAATGTTGGCTATGCAGACTTCTCAGCCAGCTGTCTTAAAGCTGCTTCTTCCCTTTCTTTCAGACTAAGAGTAATGATGACCTCTTAGCGGGGATGGCTGGTGGCGGTGGAGTGACAATGACCAATGGTGTCAAGGCAAAGAAGAGCACTTGTGTATCAACAGCATCTTCAGCTTCAGGGATGACCATGAACAGCCTGGAAAATAAACCCAAAACTATTGCAGGTAGATGGATATATTGATCCTTAAAGATGGTAGTTGGGTGGCTTTTTATTTTCCTATTATGTATTGAGGATTCAGGCTGCCTAATGAAGTGCTCAGTAAGGCCACGGTCAAATCAAACAACTCCCATGCTCTTTTCCTGTTTTTTAATACTATAATTGCCTTTTTGCAGGGTGTTCCTTTTAATTTTTTCAGTACTGATTATGCAACTACTATATAAAACTAGATAATATAATTAATCTAGAGAATCATAGATTTGTCTAAAATCATTTAATTTGTCTAAAAAAAATCCATGCCTGTAACGGATGGAGTGAGACTGCACTTCACTCCTAAGAGAGAAGCAAGCACTAAATCTTGAAGATGTGATCACATGTTGCAGTCAACATTTTAGACATTCTGTATTGCTTTATAGAAGTGAAGTAAGAGAGCTTTCAGAAACTGTTCAGAAAAGTGAAATTATAATGTTATCAGTATGGATGGAAATACGTCTTGCCTTCCATTGCTATGTTTTGGATTCAGTAATGCTTGCAAAGCTGTAAAGAATCTGGAAATAGAGTAGTAACAATCTATCCTTGTCTTTATGAAATGAGATGAAAATACAAAAAACCTTAACTTTCATTTTGGGGAATCATAATATGCAATTCATCACTTAAAAGCTTGCATTCAAATTTATTGAAAAGAGATAAATTTGAACTTGTAGGAATAGTACTGCTGCAGTTTTTCTACAATTTATCAGAAGCTGCTGAAGACAGAAAAAAAGAAACTTGCAAATGTTAAACTTTAAGGTCTAACTCATTTTCCAAATACTGGTAAAGCATAGCAATTGATAAAGCATGTATCAATTAAAACGTAACTGCACTGATTCATGATTAAGGTTGTATAAATGTTTACTCTAAATGTATTTTATGAAATGTGTTTACCAGTGTGATTCAGAAAATCAACCACTGTATTGCTGATACAAAATACACAGTCTTCTATTACAGATACTGTATTTTAAATGAATGTTCCTAACTTTCAAAAAACATATAGGTACAAGTTCCACAACTAAGCGTAGCACTTCATCTGGAAATAAAGAGTCAAGCTCTTCTAGAGAAAGAATACGCGATCGCTCTCGTTTAAGCCAGAGCAAAAAGCTACCTTTGACTGGACAGGGGACCAATGATACGGTACTGGCAAAACGCTCCCGTAGTCGCACCAATCCAGAATCAGATATTCGAATGAGCAAGTCCAAATCAGACAATCAAATCAGTGACAAAGCTGCATTGGAAGCAAAGGTGAATGATCTTTTGACATTAGCAAAAACTAAAGATGTGGAAATCTTGCATCTGAGGAATGAACTAAGGGATATGCGTGCTCAGCTGGGACTTAACGAAGATCAACTTGAAGGTGATGAAAAATCTGAAGAAAAAGAGGCCATTGTTGTCCATCAGCCAACTGATGTAGAGTCTACGTTGCTACAGTTACAGGAACAAAACACTGCCATCAGAGAAGAGCTCAACCAGCTGAAGAATGAGAATCGAATGTTAAAAGACAGACTAAATGCATTAGGCTTTTCTTTGGAACAAAGGCTGGACAACTCTGAAAAACTCTTTGGCTATCAGTCTTTGAGTCCAGAGATTACAACTGGCAACCACAGTGATGGTGGTGGTACTCTGACATCTTCAGTGGAAGGTTCTGCTCCTGGATCAATGGAAGACTTGTTAAGTCAGGATGAAAACACTTTGATGGACAATCAACACAGTAATTCCATGGATAATTTAGACAGTGAGTGCAGTGAAGTTTATCAACCACTGACATCAAGCGATGATGCCTTAGATGCTCCATCATCTTCGGAGTCTGAAGGTGTACCAAGTATAGAAAGATCAAGGAAGGGAAGCAGTGGCAATGCAAGTGAAGTGTCCGTAGCTTGTCTAACAGAACGGATACATCAGATGGAAGAGAATCAGCACAGTACAGCTGAAGAGCTCCAAGCCACACTTCAAGAGCTTGCAGATTTGCAACAAATAACACAAGAGCTAAACAGTGAGAATGAAAGACTTGGAGAGGAAAAAGTAATCCTTATGGAATCTTTGTGCCAGCAAAGTGACAAATTAGAACACTTCAGCCGTCAGATCGAGTATTTTCGATCCCTTTTAGATGAACACCATATTTCATATGTAATTGATGAAGATATGAAAAGTGGTCGCTACATGGAGTTAGAGCAACGTTATATGGACCTTGCAGAGAACGCTCGGTTTGAGCGAGAGCAGCTGTTGGGTGTTCAGCAGCACTTGAGCAACACTTTGAAGATGGCAGAACAAGACAACAAGGAGGCCCAAGAAATGATAGGGGCATTAAAAGAACGAAATCACCACATGGAACGGATTATTGAGTCAGAGCAGAAAAGCAAAACAGCAATAGCATCTACCTTAGAGGAGTACAAAGCCACAGTAGCCAGTGACCAGATTGAGATGAACAGGCTGAAAGCTCAGTTAGAGCATGAAAAGCAGAAAGTGGCTGAGTTGTACTCTATACACAACTCTGGAGATAAATCAGATATACAAGATTTGCTGGAGAGTGTCAGGCTGGATAAAGAAAAAGCAGAGACATTGGCCAGTAGTCTGCAAGAAGAGCTGGCACACACTCGCAATGATGCCAATCGATTGCAAGATGCCATTGCTAAGGTAGTGTTTAAAACAAACTGTTGTATTTTAACATCCCGTATACACCATGACTTACTGTTGGTCACTGTAGTTCTTTTAGCAGTAAAGGATTAATTATGAGGGTAATCGGATTGCAGTAGTGTTAGGATTGATTACTTTCTCTTAACCCTTGTTATGAAAATGACGGAGGCCTTTTTAAAAATTATACGGATACATTCAGCCACAGGGTAACTGTTGTGTTACTTTTTTCAAATACTGGTATTTAAACTCCGCAACTTATTTCAAAGGCCAAACTTAAACAGTAATTAAGATACTGTATGAATCTTCTGCTTAAATTGCATGCCTTCTGCAAGAGTTTCAAGGAGTTAGTGCCAAACTGGTGAAGAGGGATGTCACTGAGAAAGTACTGGGAGTCAAAGTTTGAAGTGTTAACCCAGCTGTTGATGAGTTGTAGGACCTTTCACAGGTGTTGAGAGAATATTTTGAAGTTTCAGCTTGTTCAAGTTCGTTCAGTTAACTTAGAATGAACTGATGATAAAGAAAGCAGAAAAGTGTCTTTCTCCAATCAAGAAATGACTAATTTTGAGGTAGACAGAGATTTTACCAAATTTAGTTTAATTTACTGAATACATGTTTTAGTTTTGAATGAAAAAAAACACATTTTGATAAGCTTTTAAACAATTATTATTAAATATGGCAAATACACATAGGTTTTTTACTAATGATCCATCCAGGAGCAGCTTGTGTGTTGACTACGTTTTGGATCACAATGTGTCTTTCTAGTTCTAGAACAGCTATTTTGACTCAAATATAACTAATTTATCTAGTAAATATGCCTAGTAAAAGTGTTTACCATAATTTGATATAAAAATAAGAATAATAAAATTCATTTAATAACTTTAAGTATACATTTAAAGGTGTGTCTTCCTGATGAGAAAATTTATGCCCAATTTAATGTCTGAACTACCTATTAGTTGCAAATCAACATGTTAGTCATGATCACCAGCCAGTTAGAATCAACCTTAATTTGGGAAGAAAAAAACAAAATTTTAATAATTAAAGTTGAGTAGTGCTATTAAAATAAAAAAAAATATTGAAACAGATGATTTAAAGCAGAGTATTTTGTCTGTTAAAATTGGTGCCTGATTATATTGTCCCACCCTAAGCCATGACCTAATTTCTTTTGTTTTTCTGACACCCTGTTTTTGCTGTTGGGTTAATGTTACTGTGCCTCTGATCCCAGCTTGTTACTTAGGTTGCAGTTTCCTGAGGCAGAATAAAATAGCCTCTCTGCTCCTGAAAGGGAGAAGTCTACTACCTCTTCCTTTCCCTGTTTTTTTTTTAATTCAGTCCAATAGCTTGTAAGACTCCTCTGGGAACTACTTCAACTCACTAACACATCTCACACACGAATATGAATCCTGCTACTTGGTTAAGGAAATGAATCATCTCACAGGTCCAGCAAGTGCTAAAATTGGTGCACAGAAGAGTGCAGGCTTTTTTTTGGCAAGAGAAAGAAAGGGTAAAGAGCTCCTCCACCACCTCCTCCCTTTTCGATGTCAGCTAGATGTTAAACTGGATCAGCTGCTCATGAAATCACAGCCTTGGTACTATGGTATTGTTGCTTCATTTGAATGCAGGATACTGCTGTTAGAGTAGCTGGGGAATGCTCGTATGTTTAGCTTGGGAATAAGAGAGTTTAACTGTGGCTCAGGAAAATAGTTGCACTAGAACAATACATTTTTAAAGGCTTACACTTAACTTCTTGTCCCATACTTTTTTTATGGTTGCAGAAAAATATTGTAAGTATGGTAGTTATGGAACTAAAGTGTGTTTTAAAATGCAACCAATTTAGTTATGATAAGATACGTTCTTTTTCAGGTTGAAGATGAATACAGAGTGTTCCAAGAAGAAGCCAAGAAACAAATTGAGGATCTCAATGTGACTCTAGAAAAACTTCGGACAGAACTAGATGAAAAAGAGACTGAGAGAAGTGACATGAAAGAAACTATCTTTGAGTTGGAGGATGAAGTAGAGCAGCATCGTGCTGTGAAGCTTCATGACAATCTCATTATATCTGATTTGGAGAGTAAGTGTTATGAGTTTCTCTTGTGAGAGAAATGATAATTTAAGAACAGCTGAAGTGGCACACTGAAATGGTGAAAATATTTTCACTTGTCTTTCGTATGTCTGAATTCAAGTCAGACTGGGCTTTGCAGAACCCTGATATGCTAGGGGGAAAAAATCAAGTTGGCTTTGCTTTTCCAGTCCCAGTAATAGTTGGTGTGGGAATGAAAACCTGTGAATTGAGAATAAATACGAAATCTGATAATGCTGTTTTCAAGTTGTTTTTCAAAGTAGAAGAACAGGTAATTACAGACTTAATAATGCATTTTGGAGACCGGATGATTGATTTAGTGTTTTGGTGTTGGGTATTTTTTTTTTTTAAGAATGCTCTCTTTCGAGTGCCCAAATATTAGGAGTTATCAGGTAGCTTGAGAATGTGTATAATTAATGATTTCTCCCACCTGGAGAAAGGTTTTTAGTGGAGAAGGGGGTGAATGGAGGCTCTGAAAGTTACAAACGTCAGAGCTGACTTGGCAATATGGATATATTATGTATCTCTTTCTGTGTGGATTTGCTCAAGTCATGAAACTGATCTGTGAACCTAAAAATGAATCTGACAAACTTCAAGCAAGTTAGTAAAACCTTATCTGTTGACTCTTGCCACCATACAAGAAACGGTTGGGGCTTATAATGAAATTCATGTTTACTGTATACTTGTCTAGCTCTCTGTGCCTTAGTTCCCTCTCTGATCTCCAAGACCTGCTCAGACATTCCTACCACGGGCTGAAATTCTGCAATTAGTCTCTGTCTAAATAAGAACTTGGGCAACTGCACCCTGGCAAGCTGTGTTTGCACAGTGCTACTTACAGAATTCAAATATCTGCTATTCTTCCATGGTATACAAAGACTAAACAAGATAGCAAAAAACCCAAAGCATAATCCCTTTTAACAGCAAGGGAAATATTCATAGAAAGGATTTTAAATTGGTCTGCTCTCAAGAAAAGGTAGTGTCTTAAGCAAGCTAAATTATTTATTCAACTGAAGCTCGGTGTCTTCAGACATGTGGCTGTCAGCTTGCTTTCCCTAAGCAACCCTTCTTTGTCTTGAAAGGCAATCACTGTTTCTCTTTACAAAATTGCTTTAGGTTTTTATTCTGCAATTTTTTTTTTTCCTCTTTCTGTTCCAAAGCTGAAGACAGACATTTACTTGGGAGCAGGAGCTCAGGCACATGGTTAATGGCTCTGACTTTGTTCCTGAAATAGTTTTGTAGCAAAGTCTTAAAAAGGTTGAACCCTTTTCTATTTGCATTTTTTTGTCCATTAACTGAAATACATTCATACAGAAAACAGCTCCATAGTAAACATTAAGTATCTACTTAGTAATGCCTGATTACAAGGCACCTCTAATTTTTAGATGCTTCTGCTTTGGGGGTACAAGATAGCTGACAGATATTTCACTTAAACTGGTAAGAATTTAGGGAGACAAACCTCTGCCTAAGCAGGAATTTGCAACAAAAATTGTGACAGTCTTTGTTACTCATCACTCTTGGAATAGTTTGGAAAATTCAACTGTACTAGCTGATGGCCTGGTGTGATCCTTTAGGGAAGAAAGCAGTATTTTAGTTATAGACAGGAAGGAGAGTGGCATCTAGTGGCGTAAGAAAGGATGGCACCCGAAGAATAGTACAAACTTAAAAAAATATTTTTCTCTGACCACTTTAAAACGCTGTTCATTATGGGTTCATAATTAAACCTCGTACAGGAGTTTCTTGGTGGTAGCCTCTAAGTAGTGACAGCAAAGAACAGCATCTCAGAAAATCTGGGACTTGGAGGTAGTACATACAACATATAAAAGACAGAATTTTAATAATTTGTATTAAAGTGACAGAAAAGCACATCTTAGCAGGAGTGAGTTATCTTATGCTGATCAGACTTTTGGTCAGTTCTGGTATTCTGTCAGCCAAATGTGTAATGCCTGCGCTTTTAAATGTGGAGAATTTAGTGTAGGTTTAGGTATTATAAAGCACTAGTTAAAAGAACGGTGTTTTTCAGCCTAAATAACCAAATGTAATAAAGAACCATAAGTTTTTCTTTAGTGAACTTTTATTTTAGGTTTTAAAATATGAGGAAATCTAACCCACCCCTGAAGGAGAGAATTTGCCTAACGGCAAAGTTACTGAGTGAATGAAAGTGATGGCAAGACAGCTGATAAATGACTAGTGATAAGTGATGGAAAATCATCACGTAAAGAATTCACAAAAGACAGACTTTACAGTTAGGAGAAAGATGCTTCATAGATGAGGTGGTGAGTGTTCATTCGATTTAATGGTTAATCAACACTAAATAGTAATGTAGGAATGTGAAATGCTCTAGCACTGGTACTTAGGGCACGCTTCATTGTGGGCTTTCCAAACACCAAAAGAAGCACAACAAATATATAATGAAACATTTTTCACAGTAATCTGAATATTGAACTGTCACATTTTAGCTGTTAATTTGTCTGCCTGCAAAAACTGGGATCTCTTTGATGTGGACACTAAGATGTAAATTGCATTGATTAGAAACATACAGTATGTTCCTGATGTCCATCCAGATGCGGCAGGAACTGTAGTCAGCGGCAACTGAACTCATCACTGGTGGGACAAGGAGTTTTAAGCATCGTGCTTCTGTATTGTATCTAAAAAGAAATATTAAAATAACCTGTATGTTTTATATCCTCACTAGTATGCTGAGATGAAACAAGCTGTAGTCAAGATGAGTCTGTAGGTACTGGAGTGGAGGTGAGGGACTGGGAGAGGGCAGGGCAGGCTGGAAGTCGGCAGGGGAGGCGGGCGTTGCGCTAGATGGCGTGTTTCCTCTGGTTTTCATTTCTGACTTTGGAAAAACTTTCAGAAGTCAGGTAGTCAAGCTGGCACATTAGTCATCTTCAATGACTAAGGGGGAAAAAGAAACCTATTATTCTTCCAAGCAGTTAATCAGAGTTTGTGGGGAATTTTTTTTCAGAGAACTTTGTCTCCTGATTTGCAGAAAATTGACATTTGTAGGTTAGCTTATCAGTTGTCACATGTTTCTTCTGAAGCCTGAAAATACTCGTTGCATGTTCACTTAGTACAAGGTACATGTGCTAAATATATCAGTTCTCTTAGTCTATAACTATTTAAGTCAGTAAATTTTTTGGACAAAGGGTAGGTGAGCAAGAAGGTTGATATATCTAGTGTTCAGTGAATAAATAGTTCTTTTATGGAGCTGCCAGCGTTAGTGGGTTTTTTTTTTTTCCACAGCAGTCGTGAAACAAAATTTTAACATTACCATATTTGGGCCTTTTCTACCATAATGTTGGAAAGGTCAATTGGATGTTAGTTTTCTAATTGTTAGTAATTTTTTTTTTTTTTTGCTAATGTTGGACCCTTAAAAAAATCGGCTTTCTTGCTGTATAGACCTACTGTCTGACAGTGATGAGCTCAAAAGCAAGACTGATATGCAAATTGCCTGAGCTTTGGTATATTTGTAACCAGTGTCTCTTCCTTATATAAGGAAGCTATCATTTTTAAATTAACTGTAATGCTGGCACTACTCTGTGTAGATGTGATTATGCTGGGATAGCCGTTTCTATGCTAAAAAATTGAAATACTATCCTAGTATAAGGCAAACGAATGTAACTGGTACAAAACCTGCGAGAATGCCCATTGTGGATTTGCCTGTGTCAGGATTACTTGATTTAGCGTTGCTTATCAGGAATTGTAATGTCATGTTTTGAAACTACTATGCAGATCTGAATATTGTAAGTAATTTTTTTTCTTTTTTTCTTTCTTTTTTTTTTCTCCCCAGAGACAAATTAAACAATTGAATGTTGATACTCATTTTTCTTTCATCATGATAAATTCTAACTGCTAATTATAATCAGTAAGAGTTACAGATGCAGAATACAGTGATACTTTTTCTCTGGCAGCCTTACAAAATTCAGATGATGTCTTAGTTTCTTCCTCCCACCAGCTGTAGTTGTAATGTTTTTCTTTACCATTTGTAGTCTGCATTTCTCATAATTTATCTACCTTTTAAAAAGCAAGGACTTGTCAAACTGTGATTTAAATCAATATTGTTTTGTAAAATGTAGACATAATTGAATCCTGCAGTAAAACACAAGCAGCTTGCTGATTTGCCATCTTTGATTATCCTGTTCATTCATCAGAATGGTCTCCTTGTTCTTCACTTACCCTAAACAATAGTTACTTTTCCTTTTATTTCAATCTTCTTTCTTGTCTATGCTCCTTAAAAGGAGGAGACTGGATAATGGTAGAAGTGCCCGTCCTAGCATACTGAAAATTGCAGCACATACAAGTGGAAAGGGTTTGTGTGTGTTAGAGAAGAATCGTGGAGGTTGTGAGGATGCAGAAAGGAAGGATACCACAAGGCAGGTGTACAGAGAATTGCTGCCTGTGTGCCTATTTTGACTGCTTGAATTTTCAGGCTGTAATTGGTGGCACAATGCAAAGAATGGAGTTCAGGCTGTAAGAGGTAAATCACTTATCTTAGTCTTAATTTCTCACTACATTTCAAATTCAGTTGCAATTTGGTAGTTCTTTTCAGTTCTTTTTTTTTTTTATCTCTTCAATTGATTGCGAGAGAAGACTGTTTCCACCAAGTGCTGTAAAATGCTCTGTATTGTTTATAGTAACTGCAAAATATTCAGACCATTGTGTTTTACTTCAAAGCATAAATATACTAAAACTTAATGGTGCGTTTCATATCTCACAAAAGCTCAAAACAATGGCATTACACAAGCTTTAACTCTGGATGCATTTATAGTTTCTGGTTTGTGGTTATTTTTAGATGAACTATAGCTTGCTTTTAGTAGTAGAACAAATTTTATTTTTAAAAACACGTTTTCTTTGAACTGTCTTTAAAAGAGAAAATGGTCATCCACTCGATTTTGTTTCAAAAGGCTCCTGGAAGCTCTTTAGGGCATGTTGACTTGCTGTCACTGTTGAAAGTTATCTAATTTGCAGCGGGTTTTTTTAGCATGTGTTTAAAGGAAAAAAGGGTGGGGAGGGGGAGCGACTTTTATAACTTTGACCTAAAGCTGGCATCTCAGTGCTGACTTTAGCTCAAACAAGTTATGTATAGAGAGACAAGCTAAAAATTAGAGGCCTTTGCTTAAATATCATGGTAGCATGAGATTTGAGTGGCACACTCTGTTAGGCTTATCTTCAAAGCTTAAAGATCGGTTGGATGCATCTTAAAATGTGCAGTCTTGTAAGGAGGAGATAAATACAGAAATATCCGTCTAATTTTAGTGTTTAAACTTCTCCAAGCCTGAAAGTTCATCATGGTTTCAGGCTAACTGAGGTTTATATCATTCTTGTAAAGAAATTAGGTGTGGCATTAAAAGCCTCTGTACTTGGGACTGTTGAGGCAAAACTCAAGAATTTCTTCTGATGAAGAAATCAAAAGGAATTCCATGGCTGAAAAACTGAAATGTTTTTATGAGCATAGTTGAAGCTCCTGAATGTACATATCAACTTAAATCTGTTCTTAGTCTTTGTTGCATCTGATTTAAACATTTCGAAATGTTTACTATTTTCCATTTAGTCTGCCGTAGCCTCATTTTTATTGTTAAGAAAAGCCCTTTGACAAAAGACCAGGAGTACTGAAGGTACAGGCTTACTTGGGAAGATGCTGGTAGGTATTGGCAAAATGAGTAACTTTGAATAAACCCTGGTTTACTGGTTTTCCTGAGACCTGATAGTGAAATAAAAGCACTGGAAAGTTTTTCATGCTAGAAAATGAGAGTCACAAAACTTTACTGTATCAATCTGTTTGTATGAATGTATATACCTATCTTCTGACTATTCAAACATTTATTATGCAGTTCCATAGATTTTTGCCAAGGTTTTGTATTTTGAACAGCCTAAATTTATTAGGCACCTTCAACCTTTTTGTGGAAAGAGCATTGCTAATATACAGGAAAAATATTTGTTTCCAGCAGGTCTTGGAATAATGAACCTGAACAAAAAAAATGCATTCAGTCAGTTGGCCCATCATTTTTACAGTTTGGAAATAGCTACACGATGCTACAGAAATAAAATCATCCTAGAATCTAAAGATCAGTGAAGTGACACACTAATTAGAAATTTATGCTGTGTTCTTCTTCATTAGTTGCTTAGTTATAAGAATGGAGTAATCAATCACATTGTCCTTGTGTATTGAATGAAGTAACAAATGAATAATAATTGCAGTAGCCAGTCTGTCAGACGCCACATGAGGAGTTGGTGGTGATCAAGCTGCATACCCTTTTGTATAGCTGCTGACAGATTTAAGGGACCACCTCTTTCATAACATGATCTCATAGACTGTTTATCCCTTTGCTGTAAATATAGCTTGTTTCAACTTCAAATAGTAGCTTGATAGACAAGAATGTAAGATTCTTGAGGACGTGAGTAGAATTTTATCCCTGTTGAAGACATGTCTGTGAGTGTTATGCCAGCTGCTTTGTGGCAGGGAGTAAATTGTGAATCAAAAGGCTTTGTGTAGCTGCAGCTACATTTGAAAAACGAAAACCCCCAGACATCCATGTTTTTAGGATCCTTCCATGTTACATTACCTACCTTGTTTATTTGCTCTTTGTTATTGCTTTGTCATTTTAATATTGTGAAGGGTGGAGAAGAGACTGGGATTTATATAAGAATGGAGTTTGCTTCCCCTCACCAGTCATAGAGAAGTATGTACCTATTGACACTTTCTGTCAAATTGTTTCTGCTCATACTATTTTTCTCCAGATGTCTTTGGTTATTAAAAATGTATTCTCTGAGTAAGTTTTAAAAAGATTTGCAGGTTGTTTCAGTTACTCTTTTTTAAGTAAATAGATCCCTGACTAAGATCTTACAGGTAATTTGACTTTCTTTCCAGATACAGTTAAAAAGCTTCAGGACCAAAAGCATGACATGGAAAGAGAGATAAAGAATCTTCACAGGAGACTCCGGGTATGTTAAAACCTAAAAACTCAATAAATTATTAACTTGGAATATCATAAGACCTGAATGTGAAATTGTGAAAAGGTAGTATGATGTGATGTAATACCATTAAAATAATTATTTCTGAGACACAGGCATCATGTGGGAATATATTTACTAACCTACAGAGACTAAAGAATTAACTTCTGAAAAATTCTCAGTGTCACAAAGATATGGCGTTGGGCTTGGGAGAAAATGTTCCTGTGTCTTCTGATGCGTAGTTTAATATTTTTTTTCCCCTCTCCACTTTGAATATTTTCTTTGTTTCTAGAAAAGGAATTCATGACTTTGGAAGTCTAGTTATTTCCAGCAAAACTTCTTCAATTTAACTTGTAAGTTAGGTTGTGCCTAAATGCCAGAGATGAGGGCCTTTATCGTTCCTGTAAATTGTTTCCTGTAACAGCATAGGGAAACTATCACTAATAAGGATAACTTTTATTTTTAACTTCAAAATTCTTGCTGCTGCTTTAAATTTAAAGTTTTATTTACTTATAGGAGGAGTCAGCAGAATGGCGTCAGTTCCAAGCTGATCTACAGACTGCAGTGGTTATAGCAAATGATATAAAGTCTGAGGCCCAGGAAGAGATAGGAGACCTGAAGCGTAGATTACATGAAGCTCAGGAGAAAAATGAGAAGCTCACTAAAGAGTTGGAGGAAATAAAGTCACGCAAGTATGCAAAAGACAACAGGGATATTGTCTCTTTTGTAGGGGGGGTACAATTTTGGAAATCCAGTATCTTGACTATTATTGAGACTCTGGAAGTTCATAAATCCTCTTACTGTGAGGATCTGTATTTCAACAAGCTGCTTTACGAAGGCTTTCAGGGGTCGAAATAGGTAAACTTACAGGAACAATATTTGTTTCTTTATACTTTATACTGTATACTTAATCCATCCAAGAATATTCAGTTTGGCACTTTTGCAAAACAGGTTGAAGTGGAGGATTTTTCCTGTTTAACAGCTGGACATGATTTAACTTCCCTCAGTGTGAAAAACAAGCAGTGCTGGCTTTTCTGTACCATCATTAATACTTCTTATTAGCAGCCAAGGCTTTTGGTATGGTGAAAAATACAGCTGGATTTTTACCCAAGAAGAAACCCTTGTCTAATTCTGCATATATCTTGTACTGTTTTCTTTCCACTGGTAATTGTTTCTGGAAATAATTAGAGATGCTTTGTGTACATTTTAAATAAAAACAATTCAAACTGTGGTGTGTTGTGGCTTGAATTAGGTGGTACAGTTATTTAGAAACTGAGTTATATGTCTTTCAGAAGTATTAATGTCCTCAAATCCATAGAATAGGAACATCTTGGACAGCACCATTTGAATCCTGACTACATTGTCTCTAGGGATTGAATACATGTATAGCTTACAATTACAGTAATGATGTTTGTGATGTGTAAATATTAAACAATTTTTTTCCACGTGGATGGGCATTTTGTAGGATACATGACACTTAACCCAGCTGGGTATGAGGTAATGCAGGCTATGGAACTTGGGGAAAAGCTGATGGTAGGAAGAGCAGACTGGTTACACTGGAAATGGAAAATTATCTGGATGAATGAGTGGTAGGTGTAAGGCATCTTATCTGAAGTAAGATCACCAAATTAAGTAATATGAATGATTCTTACTAATACATTTCAGCCAGAATTGTAATTGTTCAATTACTGCTTGCAAGTAAACCTTTGAGGTTACAGTTGCACTTTTGAAGGTAGAATTGGCTTGCTGATTCTGGTCAGTATATTCATTATTATCTATACACAAGCATCTTCTGACATTTGGTACACTGCAGACAAAGAAAAAAGAGGCAACTGAATCAGATTCCGTGGAAGTGGTATAGCTACTGTATTGGAGGGAAGGTGGTAGGAAAGTCTATCACAGTGTGTGAAGCAAAAATCAGTCAATGTTTAATTATTGCTGACTGTAGAAAATAGGTTGCTTTAAACAATTCTTGTCTTGTGAGTGACACTGAATACAATAACCACCATAAATATTCTGTACTAAAAATCTAAATTTTTTTTTCGAAACTGATTCACATGCTGCCTAAAGGCGGTATTCTTACCTTCCTGGTATTCATTTAAATTGTTTTCTGTTTATGCAGGTGGAAAAAAAATTCTCCCCTGTGAGCTGATTATTTTCATGTGAAATGGTGAAATGTTTAAGGCTTAATTTTTTCCATCCATGTGTACATGTGTGTGTTTGAGAGAGAGGAGCAGAAATTAAGCCTTAAATCAAGTATTGATTTGATAGAATTTTCACCTGGTGCTTAAGCTCTCTTGCTGACAAATAGTAAGAACTTACAGTGATAATTTAGGTTGATAATCTATTTCTAAATTACAGTGGAAAGAAAACTAGGTTAATGTAATGACCGATTTGGACCATAGATTTTAATTTGGCTTCAAATTTGTGTTGATTTTTTTAAGACTTTGCATGTTAAAATGTTTTTTAAATGCCTTAAATGGGCTGCATATTGATTTCAGGCAGGAAGAGGAACGTGGTCGAGTGTACAATTACATGAATGCTGTAGAGAGAGATTTGGCAGCTCTGAGACAAGGAATGGGCCTGAGTCGCAGATCATCCACCTCCTCAGAGCCAACTCCTACTGTAAAAACACTCATCAAGTCATTTGACAGTGCCTCCCAAGGTAATTATTTTCAACCAGTGTAGTAGCTGTACCAAGTTTTGATTTTGCGTATGTTGACATGGACACTTCTAATGACTTAGCTAATTCAAAGGTAAGTTGTTTTATTGTACTGTCGTGACCTATAAGTGATGGCTGAAAGAACCAACCTAAATTAGATTGCACAACAAATAATTCACTGTGGTTAAGTGCAAGCATCCTTTTTTTGTCTTATCTTTCTTTTTTCTTCACTGTCGCATTGCCAGTGACTCATATGTTGGACGCTTTGATTCAATGCTCCCGTATATTAGAAATACATAAACACATATTACATACATAATTGTAGCTGGAAGCACAGCTGATTTCAGCCTGACTATTAAAACATGAACTTAATGTGCCAAATTAAGCATTCTAAAAGCCATGTAATAACTAGAGCTGAGTTTGTTTCTTTTAATAACTTACATTCTTATAGTCAAAGTGCTGATGAAAGTTAAAAATAAAGTCCAGCCAGTATCACCTATTAAAAAATATAGGGAATATTTTCTAAAATGAAAAGGATCTCACTGTTGAGACAATGGATTTTACTATAATTCTCTGATAGTGGAACAGGTGCTGTTGTCTTTCTCTATAGATGAGCAGAATAAGGAATCCAAGTAATTATCCTGAAATGAGAAACACTTGAGTTTTAACTTTGACTGCATATCAGATTTGTATGGATCAAAATACTTCCCTCGCCAGGCCTTTTGGCTTTGAACTTCGTTTACAATAATGTCACTGTAAGTCTTTGATGTAAAAAGGCTTAGCTAGAGGTAGACTATATTACCAGAGAGACTTAAAGTACTGTACTGTGCATGGCAAATTATTTTTCATTGCTTATCACCTGAAAATTTGTTAAGGTATAGAAGCATCTCTCTATTACTTGGCGATGCTGTAAATGGCTCTATTTCCACACTTGTTCTCTTTGTTCATAGGTATTTACAAATTTTTAATTTCCTAGTGTTAATTTTGAAGGTTTTTTTTAATCTGTTATTGCATAAAGGTGCTTTCTTGCCAGAGTTAGTTTGGTAAAATGATAAATCACCTCTCCCTTCTTTTTAATCTTTTATTTCAAGCTTCTATCTTCCTTCTTCCTCAGTATTCATGTCTAATCACGCTGTTAAATAATCAGATGACTGATTCACCAACTCAGTATTTCTCTGTTTTCATACATTTCTAAACATGTTATTTGTTTAATCCCAAAATTTCAGGGACTGTCATATAATATGTAGTACCTGTGGACTTTGATTAGAAATGAGAAAGGAGAAGGAGGTAATATATGTTAGCTATCTTGTCTTACTGGCAGACCCAGGAGCCTGCTACCATCTCTTTAATTATCTGGAGATCAGAGAACTAGTAATGCCATCATTTACATCTGCCAGGGTAATAGTATCCTGCACCTTAGCCTTGTCCACCCCCAGTAAACTTATGTTTTTACCATGGGTGATATGTTCAAGACAGAAAATGAATGTAATTACGGAGGAGTAAATGTGTAGGCATACTTTTAAATGATTTTGCAGTCAGTTACTAATTGAAATTCTGAAAGATGTGATCTGGTAAAACTAGTAATGTAAAGTATAAGGCAAGAGTTTGCTATAACAGCCAGTCTTCTGTTTCACTGCAAAACAGTGCAATGCTCATGGTGGCTTCCTTTCTGTTTCTACTAGTTCCAAGCCCTGCTGCTGCCACAATTCCTCGCACTCCCCTGAGCCCAAGTCCCATGAAAACTCCCCCGGCTGCTGCTGTATCCCCTATGCAGGTAGGTGTTTTACGACTGCACTTAATCCTTCTTTGTAAAGAAGAGCATGTGGAACTACAGGTGGTAATACACAAAAATTGGCTGACTTTGTGGGGACATAATGATAAAATGTTGCCTCAAGTAAGTAATTACTAAAATGTTCAGTCTAACAAAAGAGTCTTTCACTGAGAACCATGTTGTAAATACAAGATTTGGCATAATTTGGAAATTGTTGTTAAATGTTCCCAACCCTTGCTATTCCTCTGCTACTGAGAAGCATGGGAGGAAAACCTTATCTGCATTCCTTAGTTTTAGAGTTGCTGTTTGTCAGTTCTTAGTCCTGTGCCTGGCATGGAAACAGCAGTAGTCCCCTCCAGGCAATGGACTGAGATCTGTGCAGAATCTGTCAGCAATCATCAGTAGAAATGTATCCCATGTTGCATGGGCTTTTGATAGCAGACCTGACCAGAGAGGAATGAAATCATTGTGAATTGATTATCTTTGTTCATTTTGTACTGACTGAGAGTTTGGCCAGTTGGTGATTGTACTGTGTATTTTGTCCTGTCCCCTCTGAAGCTTTGTCCATCTGGTCAGCTGCTACAGGAGCCTAGGTACACTAAGATTGCCTCATCGGTACTCTAATGCTAGCTTTATAGATCACTGCTGGTTTTATTATCTCACTAGCTGCGTGAAGTGAGATTTTGGCAAAAGCCAACAAGTTTAAGGACGAAGCAGATGGGACCAGATTCACAAAGAAAAATCAAAGAACGTACTATATGTTTTACTCCTTTAATGTCAGTATTCCTCCTGTTGCCTTCAAGATACTACTAACCAGAAGTACCAAAACTTCATTTTTACTATAGGTCAGCATAATGTTTTGGTAATAAATCCTTTCTGTGTGAACTGAAGAATGTCTATCCATATTGGCTTTTAGTGCTCAAGGAACAGTACCTGGAACAGTCTGACTGTTCTCCTCTGCTGAGACTAGTGTAGCTTTTATTCATTTAAGAGTGAATTTCATGAAACAAACAGCCTCAAAGCAAAGAGAAAGAATTAAATGTTTTTTGTGAGAGCTTCTGCTATTTCCTGGGGCTCACTCTTGACAGCAGTTTTCTAAAGTAGTTAAATGTGACAAGTTCTCTGACAGATGCTTTGTTCCTATTGATCTGTCTTTATATTTCTGTTTATTTCTGTGCTCTTCTAGGAAGAGGCAGACAATCTCGTGTCCTAAAAGGCCAGGCCAGAGCTTTGGCAGGCAGAAGAGTTTTTGATGAAGCCTAAGGCTTACTTCACTTTATTTATCTGTAAATTAACCATGAACCAAAGTAATCTCTTAGAATACTGCAAACCTGCTCAGGTTTACAGCTCTTGTTTGATGTTCTCGATCTGCCAGAATTACTTGAATTTTGAATTGAACTTCTGGTATAGAACCAAGTCATTAACAGCTGGATACGCATTAGTGGGAAACATTGCCTGAAAAACAAAGGGGAGGGCGTGTAAATGAAAACAGCTTTTATTGTCTTTTTGAAGATAGGTGGTTTTCTTGAAAGTATTTGTAATTATCCAGAAGGCAACTGGGTTTTGTGACCTCAGTTATGTAAATTGTATTTAAAGAATATTTTTCTGCTCAAGAGAGAAGAGGTTCGGGTTCAAAATCAATTTTTGTCATCTTTTCCTTTTCTTTATTTTCATATTACTGCCTTGTTTTCTACTGTTGTGTTCTATGCAATTTTTTTAGATTTTTTGTCTGTGGTTTTCTCTTGAATTGAAAAGCAAGATTTTAATAAGTAGTCACTATGTGAGTTGACCTATTGGCTCCCACCTTATAGAAGTCATCCATGGTTTAAGATCTTGAGTAAAGGTGGAAGGGTTGATCTCTGTATGGGTGTTGCAAGACTTATTATCATTAGTCTCAGTTGCTTTTAAATGCTGTCACAGGGGAAATATTTACATGGGCACCTGCTGAGAAACTGGCACAATTTCGATATTATGATAAGATGAATTGGTTGCAGAAAGATTCTCCCAAGTACAGATGCATCAACTGCCCTCTCTGAATTATGCGTATCACTTCATTTTTGTGTTGGACTGTGTCATGAATTTCCTCAGTCTTGGGGAGTTTTTGTTTGCTTTGTTTGTTTGTTTAATTTTCTTTACAGTAATATGTGTATGTATAAGGAGATACATTCTTGGATACATTTTTTCAACTGAAAACAAGCAAACAAACCCCTTTCTGGCTTCAGGTCCAAGCCTGCAGTGGAACATAGCTGTTATTTACCATAGTGCTTAGCAATACTGCAAAACAATTTAGGAAGAGAGGTATGAAGAGAATGCTCTTCAGAATGTAAAAACAATCCTGCTGGGTTAGCCCAAAGCTTAGCTAGTCTGGTATGCCACTGAGAGTGACCAAAGCAGATGCCTAGGGAGGTATATAAGGACAAGGAAGCATATCTGCTGCTTTACCCAAGTACTTTCTTTTTCTGTTTCATAGCTGGAGGACTCTGAAGTAGATGTGGTTTCAGATTCACTAGTCACCATTGAATGTACTGCTTTGCTTTGAGCTTATAAACTTTCAGGCTCCAAGCAATTCAGTGTCAAAGACTTCCATATCTTAACTACTTAATATGTGAAGAACTGTGTTTGTTTTGAAATTGCCATGTGTAGGTGCATTGACATGAAGTACTTCATTGAAGTATGTGCTGAAGTGCAAAGTGATCAGGAATAGGTACCTGGTAGTGGTTGAAGGTCATGTTTCCTTCCATAGCCAATAACAGGTGCAGGGATGAAGAGTTAGAAGCAAAATATTTGGAGTTTAAGGGATTAGTTCATCCTGCCATAGTTCTGCCTCAAATTTGAAGTGTCAGGTGTTTGTTCTCTTTTACTTTTTTACCTGTGTGCTGGTTCCTCTCTGGAGTTGTTACTGATCTTTCTTACCAAAAAAAAAAAAATCCCAAACCAAAAAAACCCCCCCCCCCCCCCCCCCAAAAAAAGGAAAAAATCTGAAGAGAGTCATAGGTGGCAAGCAGAAACTTTATCTTCAAATCAGGAATGGCTGTGAGAACGTACCTGTTGATCTTAGCATCTTTAACTTTATCTGTTACTGTAATTCTGTTATACAGAGACTACTACATAAAAATGTTATTTAACACTGTGAACAATTTTCTTTATACACCACATCAAAAGTAGTCCTTAAAGTTTCTAGCATTTTCTTCTGCTAGACCTCAATGTAGGATGAATAAGAAGATGATCACAGATTGCAAAGCATCTTTAGTAATTTCTGTCCCATTAGTAGTCTCCATAAATTGTCTCAAAAGCATGTGATTCCTCCGAACTTTTGATCCTTTCATTTAGTGTTGAGGAGTTTGAACACTAGTGTAAAGGACAAATGGTGTTTAGCAGTTAAGTGGGTTTTAGAATGTATTTCTAGTTGAAGAAAAAAAGGTATTTATAAAGGGATTGGTAGGATCCATACGCGTTTGATTGCACATCAGATGTGTTTTGTTTTGTAAGTGAAATGAGGAATGGCTGATCTGCAAATTCAACAAAAGCTCAGTCAAGCAGAAAAGTTTCTAACACTTGTAAAATGTTTCAGGAAAAATTATTCTCCAAGAGACTTGTGCACTATTACTACTATATAGATGTTGCCAAGTGGAACTAGATAAACATTAGTTGGTTCATTTTCCTCTAATTTGCTGTGTGTTAGTCACTACGTTACTACTGGTAGTTGTAATAGTAAGATATGTAATAAAGAACTAGCAACAGTGAAGGTAAGCCCTGTCTGCAGTGTCAACAGGAACAAAAAGACAAATAGTTCATTTTATAACAAGGAGACAAGACCAGTATGCAGCAAGTTATCAGTTGAGTAATACGACTGTTTTCTGACAATATCTGTAAAGGATGTTTGTTTTAAAGTGATATCCGGAAGCTGAGAAAGTGATAAAGGTATATGGTTATCCAGTACTGTGCCTGCTCTGTACATACCTTTGTTTCCTGGCTGAAGTTCTGTACTATGCTGTCTTTGTAATGACAATTCCAAAGCTAGACAAAATGACGAAATGTTTCTCTTTTAACCTCATTATCCAACTCTATTATAGTGGTTTCCTTTTTCGGGGGCGGGGTGTCTCACTTTGATGGGGTCCTTGTCCTTTATTTAAAAAAAAAAAAATTCCTAAGTAGGTGACGTGAACTTTAAAGTTAATGCAGGTTTGAAATACCAGCTCTTATGGGAAGCTGTCGTAGGCACTTCTGTGCATGGCTGACAATTGCAGTCACTTTCGTCTGCACATTTAAAGGAATAATCTTTGTAGTGTACATGCAGGACTTTTGATATATGAAGTGATTAAATTCTTCATGCTATATTTTGGAATTAGATTCTTAGATGGTTGGCAGTTGTTTTGCCCATTTGATTTCTAGCATGAAAGCGTAACTCTAGTTTGACTCTGAATGATGAATAAGTAGCCCTGTAATCCTGCCTGTGCTACAGGATGCTGCAAAGTATATGCTGTTAACTTTTTTTAATCACAGTTTTGGATTTGTCTGTCTTGCCTACATGATTTGGCATGAGAAACATCTGACCTTTATCATCTTACAAAGATAAGGCTCATTTAACCTTCTCATCTAATCTTGGGCCAGATGGAGAGCTGAAAGAGTTTTCAGGATAAACACATTAGTGGACTGATTGTGATTAAATATAGGAATTCAATAGAAAGGACAGGGTGAATAAAGAATGTACTATAATTTGCAATAGGCTCTTTGAAATGTTTAATTTAAAAAAGAATAATTGTGGATGGTCTTCCCTGAGTCTTCAGCAACTGAATATGAGTTTCAGTAAGTGTAAGAGTAACTATTACATTGTACAGTTTGTTTGTGTGATACTAAAATGCTAATTTCAGTGCTATCCAGTGGTTAATTATTGTGTGCAAAACCTAATGCATCTCTGATCATGTACTTACACTTACACAAGCTGCTAGAAGCCATGCACTGCTAAATACTTTACATAAAACTTGAAAAAAATCCATTTTGTAGCTAATTTAGAGCAGAACAGAAATTAAGGTGACCTTAGAAAGAAAAAATAATTTTATTTGTATTTTGTTATGTTTGACAAATGAAATGTCTCTCTTCAGCTGAGCATCTCAGTTAAATATGTGGTAACAAAAGCTCTTGACAGTCTGAATAAAAAAGAGTTTCTTCAGTAGGGTTTTTCTTAGCAAAGGGTAGTTCATGTCACTACACCCAATACACCATTATCCTAATTTTCCAGGAAAAGCCACAAAGCTGTAAGGCATATGTTAATAACACAAATCAAGCACTAAAATCTTGGCTACATATAGGAGGTTGTATTAGTTTAAACACATCAAGTTTAACCAGAACAAGTTTGTACAAACAAAATGTAAATGAATGTGAAAATTAATACAAAAACTGCAAGAGAATTGACAACCTTCATTTGCAACATTGGTTTGAGGAACAGGTTTAAGTTTAAACAAGTAAATGTTATGATATCAATGCATAGTGTGTGTATATACATTCAGATTGGCAAAAGGAACAGGTAAAGAGGACACGCCCTTTTTTACTAAGTATTTTTAAAACGTCTTTTATTTTTTTAGTTCTTTTAAATCAGTAATAAAGTCATATCTGAGTTTCTAAAACTGATTCTGCAATTCCATGTTTGTTTTTTATCTTCAGATTATGTTTGACACAAGTATTTTTCCATTTCAGAGGCATTCTATAAGTGGACCAATCTCAGCTTCAAAACCCCTTGCTACGCTGACAGACAAAAGACCAAGCTATGCTGAAATCCCTGTTCAAGGTATTGATTCAAGTTTACTTAAACTTTGTTTTTAGCAATGCTATTAATACTTTTTTTGTATTTTATACCATTTAGTATCCAAAGTATTATAATATTATATACTTTTTATTACCATAGTATTTTCATAGAATATTTCGAGTTCAAGTTTTTATTATTTGTGTTTCATCACACATGGTGGCATATTATAAAGATATTTTTTTGAATTTTCAACAAAACCATGGTTGTATCCTGATAACTGGGCATTATTCTGACAGTTTTTAATGAGTGTATAAACGGAGATCACTTGCAAAATCGAGACAAGATGATTTCAGGGTCATGTCTTGCAACTGTCTTCCAGATATTAAAAATACACATCTCAGGGGTTACATTATGTATTGTGTGGTTGGGGTTTTTTTTCACCAAAAATGAAACAAGGACGATGGTTGGCATTGCATCGCATGTGAATAACAAAATACAAACTTATTAAGTATTGAATCTTCAGGAGCCAGATGAAAAACTGGAATGGAATTAAATTGAGTGTTGATTTATCTGTTTCCCAATATTTCCCTGTTCTGTGAACTTTGTTTTGTCTCTCAAAACACTGTTCACAATGTGCTCTTCCTGTGAGAATGAATGGCTATCATGTGTTGGGTGTAGCGCTCTGATTTATGCCTGCTTTAGGGGTTTTTTTTTTTTAGATGTTTCTCAAGATAATCCCCATATGACTCCAGGCTGAATATTTCCTCTCAATTTGGTATTCCTGAGGTCTGATGCTTTCTGAAGGGTTGTTGGTTTTTTTGTGTAGCACTTCATAATAGTCTGTACGTGCCAGATTTCCTTCTTGCTTTTGTTGAATGCATATTGAGGTTATTTGTACAATGCAGCTGGAGTTTTAATTTTAGAAACTTTGATATTTTTAGGAATATTGAAATGCCTTTCCAAGAAGATAGTTTAGGATTCTTTAATTGTTACAGAATTCATGGGTAGACATAAGCGTAAACACAAAATGAGTGGTATGCTTTGTATAGTTTTTGTGTTTTCATTATAGTCAGTTAATGCAGGAGCAGGACTGCGTTCAAATAGAGAATGTCAGACAGAATTCCCGTTTACAACCGTATATATTTTTAAGGTATCTCTGTAGCAATGTATGTTTCTTATGTTTTCAACTAATGAATGGGGTCTCACTTTTTTTAATCCCCATTCTTCATTTTCATGGGGTTTTTTGTATTCAAATTACTGCCTTCTAAGTGTTTCTACACAGGAGTATGTAAACCTTTTGTTTACAGTCTAAAGGTTTTATTTGAAGGAATATTGCTTCAATAATAGGAAATAGTTTTGATTTGATGCTACAGAAAATGAATTTTGTTGTAGTTTGATTTTACTCATCGGCAGTAGGC